AGGTAACACAGCAGGATGACAGACCTCAGAAGCAGCCTCCTCCACTAGGCAAGATGGCCCCTTGGAACGCACCACTTGGCGTGCATTCCACTCAGCGGAAATGACGTCGGACGCCGGGACGCCCAGCCGGAAATACGTCAACGCATTTCGCCCCACCCACAACGCGTTGACGTATTTCCGGCTGGCCGTCCCGGCGCCCGACGTCATTTCCGCTGAGTGGAATGCACGCCAAGTGGTGCGTTCCAAGGGGCCATCTTGCCTAGTGGAGGAGGCTGCTTCTGAGGTCTGTCATCCTGCTGTGTTACCTGGCTGTGGGGTCTTATTACAGGATCTGTGGAAAATCGTTTTATACATCAATAAAATGCTGGTTAATACCTTTGAAAATGTGAGTGGTCTGGTTTAAGCCTTACTAAGATTGAAAAGTCGTAACGGTATCACGCTATTGGTTTATTCTTCCTGAATTTTGGTGGAGTCGGTGAGGGGAGTAATCGGAGGAGGTTTCTATGTCCTAGAGGAGGCAATAATTGGAGGTTTAAAGGGGGTCCAGGAGCCCTTAATAATCCTGAAAGGCGTTATACTCACCAAACATCTGGTGAGTGCGGTTCATGTTGGTTTTGCACTGGTGGATGGTGGAAGGATTATTATTGGCACTGAAGAATTTTATGAAAATATAAGTTTGTTTTTTTGGACATGTCACTGGACTTTTTTTTTGTTTTTGTATGTGTCACAAATTATTTTGTTTTTGACACTTATATAAAAATTGTAATATCTGTACTAATATTATTTATAGGTTGGGTATTTTACAGATTGTTTGTGTTTTGCGCTGTTTTGAGTTGAAAAAAAAGTTATACAGCAGTTGGATTTATATGGAAAATGGAGCATTTGCAAAAATAAATGGCAGCTTGCAATCATTTTTGCCTGCTGTTCAAATGCACCTCAATCAGAAATGCTGTGTCTGAAGAAACACAGCAAAATGTAAATGCAGCCTCTTAACTGCCATGTGTACTACTCAATTAAAGTCAATGAAATTTTGCTGATCTGCATTTCAGCTGCGTTCCAAACACACACAGTAAAACGCAGGAAAATGTCTGCCAAAGAAGTTGCACTTCTGTTCATCCATTACTAAGATTTACACATCTCTGTCACACAACAGCCCCATCTGGCAAAGCAGGAGGCCAAAATTATCTGCTGCAATTCAACAACACAAAGGTTTTGTCTCTCCCCCCAGCCTGTGTTTAAAGATTGAAAAGAAAAGCAGCAAAATGATAACCTCATCTCTGCTCACTCCTCCTATCAGTGTGAACCCTGTTAGCACATGAGCACTGTAGTACAGATATCTGGTTCTTTGTGCTGCTTCCTCTTCCAGTCTGAGCTCTGCTGTACAGGGGACTGCAAGAAGCTGAAACTGAGATTAATTCAGGTATAGAAGTTCTAACCCTGCCTGCAGCATATTTGTTCTGGGTCAGTGTTTCAAAGTGTTGAGCCAAAGGATCAGTAATACAGACAGGTAACTAGTATGGAAAGAGATGATCTAAACAGCCCATGTGCATTTCCCCTGCGATAGGTTTCCTTAACAAATTTTCTATTTTTTTTTTTTAAATTTTACTTTTGAGCAGTATTTTAGTTCTATAGTTATTACTATTTAGCCTCACTGGGAGTAATGCAATTGCCTTGGAATCTGCATGCTGACTAAGGTGTCATTTTATCATGCAGCGGTAAATGCGCTGCTCAGTTTTCCGGCATTCTCAGAGGAGAGAGTTCTCCTCTGAATGCTGTTTTATGAAGAGGTGTAGATCGCTTCTCCTAATGAAGGGAGAAGCAATCTACTAAGGCTTTGAATGCTGGAAAATGGCTGCTTTCACTATAATCTGGCGAGATTACAGTAAGAGATCAGTCAAACACCGTTTACTAAGCAGAGGTAAATTATCGCTGCTTCGTTTGCGGTTCCTCCGATTCTCCAGCTCTGGGCTGGAGGATCTGGAAGGAGAACACAGATCGCTGTGTGCTGAGATGATCAGTGGAGAACATGTTTTCTGCTGATCATCTCTGTTTCCTAAACCACTAATGATCTGAGATCAGCAACGTCCTCAGGATCACCGCTGATCTTTGATTCATAAAAGGACACCTAAATTCAAGAAAAGTTGGATGTATTTGCTGGGTCCATATGAGGTTTTTAATTTTGTGACAAGTCTACATGATTATATAATTACCTAAATCCAAAAGTGGCTGATTAGCCCCATTTTCTGGTTAAATAGCTGTTCAGGAAGCCCCCGCACCTTAATTTTTTACGGTGAAAAGAATCATGTAAACAAAGGCTGCAGTCCTACCCAGAAGCACAGAGAAAAGCTTGAGGCGTCTCGTATCTCTGAATGTATTCTATGTTTGGCCATACACTCTTAAGTGAGAAATCTATTGGCTACCCCTTCCATGCTAAGCAGCGTTGATGGACAAATCTCCTGCTGGCAGTTATTGTATTCTGGCTGCCCCCAGATGTCAAGATACCCAAACCGTGGCTCCAGATAATTTGCTACAATCACTACTCAGCCTACAATTTTCTGCTGGGCTCCGATGATTTTCAGATTGAAGGAGCTGGGCAGAAAAAGTAGGCCGAACAGTGACTGCAATCCAATCAGCTGCAGGTACTGTTGAAGTATTCCGACAGCCACGGGTTCTGGCTGTGAGCGACGGGGCCAGCCTGCAATTTTCAGCACAACCTTTTCGATTTTCAGATCTAAGGAAGCCTGGAGCAGTGGTGCTAAGAGGCATCCATGGCTTGGATTTTAGCCAGTTCATCAGCAACTGACGGTTATTCGCTCCATCTAAGGCCAGCTTTTTTAAAAATGTATTTATTTATTTCAGGTGCTTATATAGCGATGTCAATTTACGCAGCGCGTTACGTATATATTGTACATTCACATCAGTCCCTGCCCTCAAGGGGCGTACAATCTAAGGTCCCTAACTTACATTCATACATACACATACTAGGGCCAATTTAGAAAGGATCCAATTAACCTACCAGCATGTGTTTGGAGTTTGGGAGGAAACCGGAGTACCTAGAGGAAACCCACACAGGCACAGGGAGAACATGCAAACTCCAGGCAGGTGGTGCCATGGTTGGGATTCGAACCAACGACCCTAGTACTGCCAGGCAGAAGTGCTAACTATTTAGGCACTGTGCTGCCCAGCTTACGGGTGAACTAAAGCCAACCATACAAGGATCCAAATTCAGCCGGTTCAGCAGGGAGTGGCTGAATTTCGGATCCACGTATGGGCACCCTGGATGCACAGAAGTCTATCTATTGATCTGCTTGTGTACAATCAGCCTGTCAGGTTTTATCTGAATGATTAGTACCACCGGCTAACCCCGCTGTCGGCTCCCCGCCGGCACAACACAACAGAGCTGCGGGAAGGACTCCACCCACGGCGGAAAGAAAATGAATTGCATAATCTATGGCCTGCCTAAGTTTGTGACTTTAGTATAGTGGTAAAGTTCTTTTGCAAACATGAAAAATTAATTTAAAGATTTCTTCTGGATTTGTTCTTTATAAGAGACTGCAATATAAGCTATGCAAAACTTAAATCACTTTCATACATTGCTCCTTTAAATAACTTTACATAATTATTATTATACAGGATTTATATAGCACCAACAGTTTGCTCAGCGCTGTACAATATACCGGGAGACAATACAGCAACAATACAGTTCAATACAAGAGGGATAGGAGGGCCCTGCTCCTCGGAGCTTACAATCTAAGAGTCATAAGACAGATTCTCATGTATTATCGGCAGTACGTAGGGATTTATCTCACAGCCCACTTTTTTTCTTCTTTTGCAAATCATTTAATAATGTACATAGTTCATTGGTTCCAATGAAGGACCAATAATTTCCACTAAAAGACAACAGATTTTCCAGGAGAAAATGAAATATGATAAAACATACATGTTCATCATTCCTTAGAGATATACAGAGCAGGGGATATACACACACTGCAAGAGAGAACCACCAGAAAAAACGTCAGTTATTTAGAACCAAACTGATCTGATGATTGGACAATCCAATATGAGCTGTACTGGTTCTCGGAGCATAAGGTGACCGCAGGTATTAGAAAATGATCTTTTTTTTTTTTCAACAAAGCATTGTCAACCCAAATTGGAATTTTGGCATTGTGTCAATTTGGTGCAACCCTGTGCGTGGAGAGTTCTGGGGAAAAACTGCTGTCTGCCTATATCCATTCTAAGCTTTGTACCACAATGATTCATTCCCAGGACAAACCAGTTTGAAGCCAAGTTTAAAGCTAGTGTGATCTCCTTCCTCTAAAATGGAATTCTCAGCACTGCAGAGAGCTTCATAACCTTCCAAGCTTGGCTATGCCATGACTATACATTGGTTTTATTAGAAAGAAAAGTGTGAGCAGCAGGGAACGGCAGAAGAGACACTACAGCCATCTGATTATTGGTTCGGGATAACGGTGCTTGGTCACCCTGAAATAGACTCTCCAGTGGCATCTGGGCGATGGGGCAACGGTCATCCTACATCTATGGACATCTTTACATGGCAAAACATGCAGACCACTCCTTCTAAGAACCCAATGGGGCTAAAAGTATATGTGAACCCTCACCTTGGAAAACAACCCATTCAGCTTAGATTGTAAGCTCTAAGGAGCAGGGCCCTCTGTTTCCTCTTGTACCAAATTGTATTGTAACTGTAATGTCTACCTTCATTTTGTAAAGTGCTGCGCAAACTGTTGGCGCTATATAAATCCTGTATAATAATAATATAATAAAAATAAAATAGAATTGAAAGGCAAAGCATTTGTGTACATACATAAAAAATATTATAAATACCTTTTTTTCTTATAACTAATCAAATAATATCTGTTCTCAGTTGCATAAGGGGCTTAGAAAGATGGGGGTGGAAAGCAACAGTTCATTAACCACCTCCCGTCCGGCCGTTGTATATAAATGGCCGGACGGTGGCACTGCAGGGTCAGGTGGCCGTTTATAAACGGCCTCCCCACACCCTGCTTGTGCGCGCTCGCCCGGGCAAAGTGAAACACAGAGTGAAACACCGATCGTCGGATGGGACCTCTGTACAAAGTCCCGATCATGTGATCACTGATTGGCCAATCAGTGATCACATGCAAAGTAGTAAGCAAGATGTCACTTCCTGACATCATTGCTTACTACGTGTGAAATCTGTGAATGATCACAGAGGTCACATGGTACAAGGCTATTCACAACAGCCTTGTACCATGTGACAAGCTGTGACCAATCACAGCTCACTCAGTAGTTCTCAATGGCTGCAAGAATGCAGACAGAGAGAAAGAGAAATGTTTGCTTTTACAGCCTTTATGGGTATAAAAGCAATCAGTGTAAAAAAAAAAAAAAAAAAAAATCTTCATCACCCCCCACAAGGAGTACAGTGTCACTATGGTGACACTGTACTGCTAGGGTGACCGTATGTAAAATACATAAATAAAAAAATAAAATAAAAATGTAAAAACAAATGTTTACAAAATTATAATTTTTGGTTATAAACTAATTTGGCTTATTTTTTTTTTTTACTAGAAAGATAATGGAATACATTTTGGCCAAGATTTATGATGAAATATTATTTATTTGCAAAATTTTATAAGAAAAACACTTTTTTTTTCAAAATTTTTGGACTTTCATTTACAAAGCAAAAAAAAAAAAAAAATCCCAGCGGTGAATAAATACCACCAAAATAAAGTTTTATCTGTCTCAAAAAAATGGTAAAAAATTCATATGGGTACAGTGTTGCATGACCGTGCAATTGTCATTCAAAGTGTGATAGCGCTGAAAGCTGAAAATTGCCCTGGTCAGGAAGGGGGTAAAAGTGTCTGGACAGGACATGTCAGCACAGGTCATCATTGAAAGACAGGCAGACTGTGCCCCCAGCATAGGAAAACGGACCACGCTGAGATGGATGCGCTCACATGTCAAGCATGGTCAGTTTGAAATAAGGGGCTTAGAAAGATTAATCTTCCCAGTGAACATGTCAGCACAGGTCTCATCATTGAAGGACAGGCAGGCTGTGCTCCCAGCACAGCCAGAAAACGGACCACGCTGAGATGGATGCGCTTTCATGTCAAGCATGGTCAGTTTGAAATAAGAGAGCAGGGGGACTGGCAGGATCACCATGTATTTCACAAAAAGGAAGCAAAACAAAGAGACTAGGATATTTAATACAAGTACATGGTACAACACGCACATATCAAGAATATGAAATGTTGGGGTAACAAATTCTTTACAGCGGCGCATCGCCCCTCTCAACCAACACTATTTTTAATCCTTATGCTGCTAGCATTCAAAAAAATAGAAATTATATCATACATCCCAGGAGTCTACAGGAAGGATTTTCTTAGCTAACCAAACCCCCATGCTTGCATGCCTGAGCTAAGGCAAATTCATTCCAGGAAGTAAATGCTACACAATTGTTCTGCCATGAGGTGGTGTTTTTTTCTCAGCAGCAAACTAGAGTAAGGAGACATGGATGGGACATTTGCTTTGATATATTAAAAATTAATTATATAACTCTTTTGGTTTGCAGTGCTCAGATGCAATGAATTTTCTGCAAAGATATAAGTGACCGACTAATTATATCCAGCAAGTACAACATCTATGCTAGAATCAGAAAGTTCACATGGCTTTACCACGCTAATTTATTTATTTCAGGTACTTATATAGCGCCGTCAATTTTACGCAGTGCTTTACATATATATTGTACATTCACATCAGTCCCTAACCCTCAAGGGGCGTACAGTCTAAGGTCCCTAACTCCCATTCATACATACACATACTAGGGCTAATTTGGACAGGAATCAATTCACCTACCAGCATGTCTTTGGAGGGTGGGAGGAAACTGGAGTACCCAGAGGAAACCCACAGAGGCACAGGGAGAACATGCAAACTCCAGGCAGGTGGTGCCGTGGTTGGGGTTCGAACCAACGACCCTAGTACTGCCAGGCGGAAGTGCTAACCATTTAGCCACTGTGCTGCCCCGACTCATTCATAGGGAGAGTGGATATCACGGCCCACATTTTCTTTTACAATGGATTTTATTATAGAATAGACAACGACAGAGTAACAGTCAGAAACAAGAGCACTGACCAACAACAAATAAAAACATACAAGTTTTCTGATGAATAGTATAAAAAAAAATGCACAGAAGTATAGACAAAGAAATAAATTTAGCACAGAAGTGCAGCATATGAAGAGATAAAATAAAGCATCACAATTTGCAAAATTGGTGGGCAATTAGAGACGATGGAATTAGTACACAATGATCAAAGATCAGCACACGATCACAACGATCAAAGATCAGCACACGATCACAACGATCAAAGATCAGCACACGATCCCCCTACAAAAGGCAGGAAAGGTGGAACACAGAGCCTCACCGGATGCACACTGGCATTCCACATCCAGGACTCCCGGGGAAGTCCAACAGATAGACACGGCCCACATTTTACAGTCTCATAGTGCAAAACAATCTTGCAACCTCTTAAACCAGGTATGTCCAAAAGTCCGGCCCGCGGGCCATTTACGGCCCGGGGGTCGGTTTAATACGGCCCTCCAACAGCCCTCCCTGCTCTGTGTAATGTGGCCCTCCCTCGGCCCTCCCTTCTATGGCAGACAGTCTTCTGCTTGAGAGCAGAGGGCAGTGCGCATGCCTGACTGCGGCGCGTTCTCCCTGGTCTGTGTAAATGCGGCTGTCGCACGGCCCTCCCTTCTGTGGCAGACAGTCTTCTGCTTGAGAGCAGTGCGCATGCGTGACTGCGCCGCGCTGGGAGCGACAGAGGGCGGTGACGTCAGGGGCGGGCTTCCAGCGTGAAGTGTGTTTCTCTTCCCCTCCCGGCTGCCGAGCAGAGACTTCAGCTCCAGCTACCTTTTTCACCCTTCACATTAGTGCAGGTAAGTTTTTTTTTTTAATTTATTTTCAATACATTGTGAAACTCAGCTGTCAGTTGATCTTAATGTTATGAAATGAAAAGTATGTCGTTTGCAATTAACTTGGCATAAAATAATTTATTTGCATTTAATTGTAATGGTTCAAAGAATGTTCGGAAAAATGTTCGGCCCTCCACCATGTTCACTTCATCCAACCTGGCCCTCTTTGAAAAAAGTTTGGACACCCCTGTCTTAAACCAAAAGTCCTGGCCAGCATGATTGTTCCAGAACAATAATTTGCTAAGCATTAGCAGACCATTAGAAATAAGTAAGCAATAGTAGCGCCCCCATTTCTATAATGAATAATTCAATCCAACTTAAAACTTGTGGCCACATTATTTCTGACCTTCATGCAAGGTGCAGAATTCCTCAAGTGTCAAGCTGCACCAAACTGGATTGTTAGAAAATTCCAAATGATTATCCTCAGGAAACAGAAGCTAATTTAAAGATTTTTAATGAGGTGGAAATTAGGGATTTACCCTTCTGTGTAGGAACATACCTCCATAAATTGCGCTGCACAAAACTTCAATATTGTGTAAATGCTAAAGCAATATGCCGTGAAGTAACTGTGCATATGTTAAGAAGAAAAATTGTGTGTATTCAAGTAATACACTTTAAATCGCTTTGCCTGCGTGCACAGCTGCCCGGAGCTGATCCCCAGCACGCGGCTCTGCTGGCAATACAATTTATTTCTTACAAATGGCACAGTTAGCAGATACTGGCAATAAAAGTAATATCTTCACTGATACGGCTCCTCTTATCCAGAGATCACGGAGTGCTTTACACAGTAATGAATACATCTCCGGCGTTATTACAGCCTCCACATTTTGTTTACCTCTGCTGGATGAAAGGCTTAGCAGGTTCCATGGGATTCGAATGTGTGACCTTCTGCCTGTTAAGATGTTATGGGAACCTCACCCACCTGTCTGGCATTTAGTGTAAAATGCAATAACTACTTTCTGCTTACAGTAAAGGAAAGACGAAAAGGAAAATCGATGTACTGCCACCGCTCAAGGCCAAAGCATTTTATTGCGAGCGTTTAACGATTTCACTGCAAGAGGGTCTAGAAAACAGATAATATATGCAAACCTACTGTAACAGAGGAAACGACATCACACACCACATTGACCGGGCTCCTTACAGCAAAAATAAATGAACAAAATGTATTTTCTTGTGTTCCAGGGATTAAATCTATATTATTTTGCTTTTAGGCAAAATAACCGAAGACTTTTTGGTAACTCCACTCATACTTGTATCTTGTATAGTGATAGTCAATCCAGTCTTCGAAGACTTGGCCACCGCCCTTAACCCCTTGGAGCTGGTGCCTCCCGGCTCTTTAAGGGTTCCAGAAGTTGAGAGGTGGGGCGGGGATTTAGGGTCATGTGACTGCCATGATTCACTGTCACGGCAGTCGCATGATTGGGAAAGGTCCCGATCGAAAGAGGAAATCAGGACCTTTCTGTGAGTATAGAACATGTGTGCTGGGAGCGTGCAGGGCGAGCGCTCTCAGTACATATGTTTATTTAATGGAATGCAATTGTGCGGCTGCTTGACGTCTAGGCCCAGACGCCGGGAGGTTGCACATTTGCGTTCGGCCGGCGCCAAGAGGTTAAGGCAGAACTTAACTATATCTCAGCACAAAACCAAAAATGCTGTTTAATTCATTTTTAATATTTAAAGTGTTACTAAACCCACAACAGTGAAATCAGTCTGTATATTATTATTATTATTATACAGGATTTATATAACACCAGCAGTTTGCGCTGCACTTTAAATGAAGGTAGACATTACAGTTACAATACAATTTGCTACAAGAGAAAACAGAGGACCTTGCTCATTATAGCTTACAATCTAAGAGGCATGCTTGTTATACTCGCCGTGGAACCTAAGGGGTTAATCCTCTGCATTGTGTAAAAAAAGGCTGTTTGATCCTGTCTTCTCTGATCCTCCCCTTCTGCCACAGTTCCCAAACTATCCGCTGATAGTACAGAGCCATAGGAGGCACTCTGCACATGCTCAGATTGGTGTGCATTGCTAGAGTTTTTTTTTTTCTTTTTTGGGAGGGTGCATGTGATCAGCACAAAGCCAATTAGCATTGTCCAGACAGAGGGTCAGGGGTCATGCAGCTTCATAGGACAGTCAGAGAATGAAAATGTCTCTTACAAGTTTTTACCAGTGCTCAGCTTGACAGTGAAAGAAGTCATAAGACTGATATATACTGCTGATGAGAAAAGGTATTTAGCAGTTTATATTGTTTATAATTGCATTTCCATGTTCTGTGTACTGTGGGAGACCAGATATAGTAAAAGCAGGGTCCT